GAGACTTTAAGCTTCCCCCATACTCTCCCCTAACCCAGTCTGTCCTGTGTTTAGAGGCCTGCATGATCTCTATAGAGGAGCCTTGAACTCACTGATACCCCAAGGAATATATCCTGGGAATAAAGGCCACGAAAAACACCAGCCAATATGTCACATTAATTTAAGTGCCTGTGACATCTCATTGGTTTAAAAAATGATAATAATAAGGATAATGATAAATTTTTTAAAGGTAACATAAGTACACAGGGAAAAATACAAGGGAAGAAATCACAGCTGGGACATGCTAACTGTCGCCCAGAGTAGACGCCCCATGGCAGGAGTTCTTGGGCTTTTACAGACGTGCCCTCCTGACTTGCTGGTCCTTCTTGTCTTCTCCTGCACCAGTTCTCCTCGTTACTGCTAGGCTCATTGATCTCATCTGACCTCTGCTCCACATGTGCCCTCTGTGCGTCTCTCTCCTCTGCTCAGCTTGAGCTAGATCCTGCAAGCGGCACATGTCCTGCAGAATTATTGTCTTTTTTTTTCCTGAACAGCGATTTAATCACATGGGTAACTTCTGATGTTTGTACTTTAATCATTGGTTTAGCGCATGTGTGTGCTTAACTTCCCTTCCAGGTTTGTTGCTATTCTAGGTCTAAACCTTTAAGAAATATAAAATATTACAGTAATTGCCTTTGTGCATCTTTTTCCTTCTTAAAGAAATGTTTGGGCTAAGTTTATCATCAGGGAGCACATTCTACACAGAAAATATATTTAGCATGACGATGTGCTCAGCACAGCGCTAGGTGGTGTGTAAGACAGCAAAGAATCATGTAGCAGCCTGCCAGATCTTGGTTTACTGCAGGAGCAAGACACACAAAAGGGAAATAGGATAGTGTGTAATAAAGAACTGGACCAGATATAATCAAGTATCAGAATACAAAATGCAGTGAGTGCAGCAGGTGTTCAGAAGGGGAGAAACTATTGTAGAGCCACCATGAGTTTGTGTCATGGGCTCGGGAGCCTAGCAAGGTGAGAGGACATTCGATCAAGGGGTTAAAGCATTGGGCGTAACCACAGAGAAGAGGAATGAATTTGATTCATGAAAGAGAAAGAGCAGATATCTTTTACAACATGGTGGAGTTTGTGAAGGACCCTATAGACCAAGAAGTCTGACTTTGAGCTAATGAGAAATGCAGTCATTAAACGCTTTCTGTAGGGAAAGGTATAGAGTTTTTCTGGCAAGTCAGAACAAGACCAAGATCGAGGAGTAGGATCAGTGAAGCTAGAAACTGGTTCATAGACTATTCAGTTATCAAGAATAAATGACAAAAAGGAGTGAGAACAATACTTGAATGTAAAAAGCATTCAACAAAAAGGTTAGCTATTATGAAATAACTTCAGGAACTGGTATGGTAGTAGTGGGAAGGTTAGAAAAATAAATCTTATTGGAAAACTAAACAGCAAGATTCGTTTCAAAAGTATCAGTTTAACTTTATGAGGAAGATGGCTCCCATATTTTTTGAGCTTTGGTTATTTGTAAAAGGCTGGAGAAGTCTTATAAGGTAAATTAACTTCCAGATTTTCCTGCAGGAACACACACAACTACTTTGAAAAATATATGATTTATTGCATAAAATTCCTAATTTTCAATTCATAGACAATTTTTTGAGTGTTCCCGATGAACTGGTCCATTTTTAGTTTCATTTCAATGTCTTAAATCTATCCAATATGAGTAAAAATTTTCAAATTGTTTGAGTAAATGAGGCAACATGTAGTTGTCCTAGATGGAGAACTGGAGACAGATCCAACTCCCAGCTCCACTCTGGGTAATCTTGAGCATGTTACCGAACCACTCAGCCTGTTTATTGTAAAGTTGGATTGCAAATCACTCAAAGATTTGTTGTGAGGGTTCAACGACATTAACACATTCTACACTTGAGCCTTACACTTGCAGGTATTAAAAAAATGTCTTTACCATCCCTTCCCCTTAATAAGATAGGAATTATATTCTCTAACCGGATGCAACTGTTCACGATCCTTAGGATGTAACAGAATGTAAAAGAAGAGTTGGAGAGTGAAATAGGAATGTGAAAAAACTATTTTTGAAAATAAGAAATAGTGATGTGTAAACTGCTTCACCCTGGGATTCAGGTTGGCAATGTTTCAGGGAAGTACATGAGAGATCCTACTTCCCACCACATCTACCCACGGTAAGATGGTCTCCAATTAAGTGATTCTTTATCTCCACTTGCAGGGGGCCATTTAAGGTTTGTCGTACATTTCCTATCATCCAACTGACACTACTCAAGCACGCAAGTCTCTTGTTAGGAAAAGCAAGCTAGAGACCCCTAAAGGCTGAATGAACACTAGGCCATTTTTAATCATCCCAAACCATTAATTCAATACTAACAGGAGGAAAAACAACAGACTTTTGTGAAAAGGCATTTCATAAAATCTGAAGGCACCATGACTATGAACAGTTAAAATTCACTCATTCCTAGATCATTTAACTAATCAAATGCTTTGGGGCCTATTCATTCACCAGTGGATATACAGAAAATATTTAATATGGCCTAAATTAAATGTGGGAGGATATGAGGAAATGGAACATAAACGTCTACTTTTTATCCACACCATTACTACAATAAAAATTAATTTCAGTACAAATTCAGGAATTTTATTTAACCATTAAGGAAACTTTAATGTCCTACCATATAACTTAGGTTAGTAGAAAATTTTTAAAGAAAGACTGAATACAAACTATCTTAAGACATTAATCAAACTTTTAATGTATCAATTTATTGCATATGTCAGTACAGAAAAATAGAAAGTATATTTTAAAAGAAATTTATTGTAAAAAAACAAATGTAAATGTTTGCTTTCCATGGTTAGCACATAATGTACTGTAACATCCAAACGAGTTACAAAAGTTTATTACTGCTTCAAATAAAATATGGCAAATAACAAAAATATGATTTACATTATGAAATTGGATTATTTTATCCTGAACATACTTAAATATGTTGAAAACAACTTGAATTTTCAGTATATGCTGTACTGACAGAAATTGTTATAAATTGTTAAACAACACACACTCATCCCTGTTACATATGTATATACGGCACTTTTTGTAAAAAAGTGTCTTATACATAGTACTATTTTTAAACTACGTTTTTAAGATACAAAATATAAATGGAGGTATATTTGCGCCATTTGGCAAAAACGTGTTGACTACTATTAGGATGAATGCATTTACTTCACCATCCAAATGAATATATTATTTCTCATTAGCTAAGATGATGTACATATATGCTAATATAAACAGAAGTGCTTTTCATTTTCTATCCTATTGATTTAAAAAATAGATGTCTGTGCTCTGCCATTTCCAACTTTACCTGAGTGATATGAAAATACGTAAATTTAAGTGGATAATCCAAAAGCATTATGACTAATTTTTTTCAGTCTTTTTTTCTGCATAATTGTTGTCAAACATAATAGGAAAAGCGGAGAGAAGAAAGGTCAGTGGAGGATTTCAATATATCTCAATCATGACCTAATTTAAAAAGTGACTTCTGTGACATCCTTTTTAAGTTTACCTCATTTACTCCTAACCTCGAGGAAAGGGACACAGTAACAAAAACTACACTTAAGCTGAGCTTGCAAGATAATTTATATAAAATTGAATACAGTCTTCATTAATTCCACCAAACAAATCTAGTCCCACCTCAAACCAAATCTTATAAAATAAAAAACGAATATGAAAGCATCAGCTGGTATGAATTCTCAACAAGAAGTGCTACAATATAATCAATCTGTGACACAATAACAAAGATGGAAGGCGGGTAATTATCAAGTGTCTACAGTTCATCACGAAAAAATAAATTTAAGCTGCCCTGTGACACAATTCAGAATATCATTTTAATGAAAATATCAATTTTACCATCCAAGTATTTGCACAAACTTTGGGTGGCTGCAATGCCAGGTACTCCAGTCACTTTCTTTGTCAGAAACGCCTTCCCTTCAAGTGTTTCCTTCTGCACTGTTAGGTTTCCTTTTCACCAATCTCATCAGTTAAGTACTTCCTAGATGTACAGTTAAGAACAATGTCACATTTCCCTTCCCAGTTGTTTGTACCCATTTAGTAGTCTTTTATCTGTAAAAAATTATTTCTCCCCATATTTTGCAATATCCTTTTTAGGATTTTTTTTGCCATTTTCCCAACAATCCCTTTTAAAATAATGGATTTTGATCTAAATGAACTGTATCTTGCCATATTTAAAACCATTCTAGGATTTCCAAATTTCAGTAGCTTAATAACTTAAAATTCATTCATAAATTTCTATAGCTGCTCCTACATAAATGAGCCAGAAAGTAATGCACACGGCAGACATATTTCTATTCCCATTAAAAGACAGGTCCAAATGAAGGAGTGACTCATGAAGAAATCACATTTTATTAAGACCAATTGTTTTGGCAACAAAATTAGGTATAAATGTAAATGTCATGTAAATGTAAAAGTTAGACACGTTTTGAAAAAATGATGCCGTGGGCTTCATGGACCCCTGATAATAAGAGTTTGTTTTCTACCCTCTTCCCATCTAAAGAAATGGTCTCAAATACAGAAACTAGGAAAGAAAGATGTACGACAACTCTAGACCAGCCTCCTCTCTCTGCTGCAGAAAGAGAGGCTCCTTAACCTGAAGAAGAGAATGAAGGTGGAGATGGGCACAAGTACTCTACAACTTCTGAAGTCTTGGCTTAAAAAAAAAGATTGTTTATAAACCTGGAGTATTAAAAAAAAAGCAGCATAAGAACAAAAACCAATGAAGAATAAGCTTTTATACTTCATCAGCATAATATTTACAACTAAAGTTGATCAATTCCTCTGCAGTGTAGTAGTCTAAATGATTATATGAAAACATAAGCAGGTACTTTGTAAACTTCAAAGAATGATAAAGTCTAAGGTGTGCCATGTAAGCTCATGTAAGCACATTACATTTTGTTGTATTAACTTTTTTCTTTTTAATACATCACTATCTAGGATAGTCATTCTACATAGCAATGACTGACAGGATGAAAAGTAGCCTTTAATGGCACTGAATTTATACATACAAAATACACCTTCCATGATATGCATTACCAACTCTTTTTTTTAAAAATCATGATTTTTTTTTTTACAATAATTTATAGAAAAACATTATCCTTTAGAAATCATACTTGCTATAATTTATTCTTCTCTAAATACTGACATAAAGTGAATGATAAGAAGGTTATTTGGCAAAAGTATTTCTAGCCCTATCTCCATGGAAAGAGTTTTAAATTAAGGTCAAGATTATTGACCCATTATTTCTCTGCTCTAGTTGCTTGCACAAAGCCAATAAATATAGCTAAAATATCCAAAATAGTTTATGTTAAAGCTGACATAACAATGTACAGAGCTCAATTACATCTAATTTTTGAGGACTGCTTAAAACAACTTAGCACAATTATGTCTCATAGCTTATATTTTTTTTAAGGTAAATCCTGCAAGTTTTAAGGGACTCTTTTTTCCTAAGTAAGATTTTCCTTACTCTTCTATACGTCTAAATACTACTTCCCACTTACAGCTATTTAACTGTTAAATGTGGTAAATAGGTTCTGTGATAAAAAGCTCTCGAGTGCCTTCATTCCCACATTCCTAACATGTACAAAATAAATAAATAAGACTCCCTAAAACTGTCTTTTGATGCAGGAATTCTTCTATTTCATAGCAACTGAAACATTAAACCAAAAACATAGTTTTTTGCTTTTGTTTCTGTAACTTTTATTTTCAGAAAGTCCAATAAATGATATCCTGGCTTTAGTGGGTCGATATACCCAGATACTGAGACTTAAAAACCAAATGTGGGAATTTTTGTAAAGCAGTATGTACAATCGTAATGATAAGACTTCCTAATTTAATTCTTAAACAAGTTCTAATCTTCATTATGACTGGTATTAGTGGTTCAGCTGTGGACGTAAAAAATTGACAGAAGCTAAAATTCTCTTTGCCACCAAAATTACAAATGTTAAAAAGTTCAAATATGCACATCAAAGCTGCATTAAAATTCTAAATTTCTATTTTTACATGCCATGATCCAGACTGTACCTAACAAAAACAGGGTACGTTTATATTGGAAAATGGGGTCCCATTTATTTGTAAGAAAAAGCTGGATCTCAGCATTCACCAGAGCAAAATTCAATGGCAACCTGCACACAGGCCTCAATTTCACCTCTTGCCAAAAACAAAATAGAGTTCACATAAAAATAGATATAACCCAAGTTACCATATACATCAGTATATGATCAGTGCTATTTACATTAAAAACATTGCATTGCATAATTCAAGGAATAAAATACCATCATGCATTTCATTTCAACTTTTAAGGTGAAAAACACAACTACAGAACTAAGTTTGCTCACCGTGATTGTCCCAACATTTTCCAAAGAAATGATACCCAAAGGTTTCTTGTTTACATGCCTCCTTCCACACCTCATCATTAACCTAAGTGTCACATAGATTACACCACTTTAGCAACAAGAAACTTTTGAATATGCCATTGTACTGGCATATTAAAGATATGGATACATAACAACATTGAAAAGTTTGATGAAAATGTATGAAATAATCCCAAGAATTATAGTTCTTCAAATGTAAAAAGCTATTTGGATTATCTTAAAGGAGCAATGAAGTCCTCTCAAAGTTTAATGTCACTCTTCAGACAAGTACAGACATAACACACTTCTGGAAAGGAATATTCTTTATCATTCTGCACAAATTAAAATACAGTGCAATAATCAAAAAGAAAAACATTATATAATTGTTACATTGGATGAAGTTTTTGCCATTTCTTCAGGAGAATGACTCTTGATGACCTCCTTGATGAACTGTTCAAGGGCAGTGAAGTAACCCTGGCACTGCCATGTATCATTATGAGTTCCATCAGGAAAAATGGCTAATCTCTTAGTCCGAGATGGAGAGAGTTCATAAAGTTGCTTCATCATTACTGGTGGAATTAACTGGTCAGACAGTCCAGAGATGAAAAGAGAAGGCATTCTGCACTGAGAGATTTTTCTGTAGGACAAAAATTTATTTTTGTAGCACCATAAAGGAAGGTAACGCATTGGAAAAAAGGAAAATAAAGTGCTGGCCATATGTGGTATGCTTAAAAATGTGTTCTCCACCATAATGGCTGAAATCCTATGTGAATTTTCAGAAGCCAAATGAATAGTCACTGCTCCTCCCAAGGAACGGCCAAAAAGAAAAATTTTTGTTTTGTCAAGGTCAGGTCTAGTCATCACATAGTCTAGCACAGCTTCAGAATCTAAGTAGAGTCCTTCTTCACTTGCTTCTCCTTCACTTTTTCCGTAGCCTCGATAATCAACAAGCAAAAGATTAACTTTGAGGTTAACCAACATAAGCAATGCATTTGGTAACCTGTGACCTATGTTGCCTGCATTCCCGTGAAAATAAATTATAGTTGGGGAATAGGGTGAATTGTCTCCAGTGTATCTTATCAAAATAAGATTTAGACGCACTCCATCTTTGGTTCTGATGAAAATGTTCTCATGTGGAATACCAGTGGGCATGGGAACATAAAGGCGTGAAGAAGATGGCTGTTCTGGAAAATAAAGCAATACATCCTGGAATTTATATAGAATACCTGCTATCGATATGAATATTAACAAAAGTAAGATAATGCCTCCATACAGATGAAAAGTCACTATTAAAGGTAAAAGAGAAATACGGCAGAGAGCCCAAGACCATGAAGCCAAGGCTATTAGCCATCTTTCAACAAAGTTCCACAGCATCCAGGGCTTTTCCATTGTAGCTCTCTGTAAGTACCCTAAAGAGAAAGAGAGACAGAATCAGTAATTCAACATATACTTATTATTTTAAAAGTTAGATCCACGAAATAATAAATTATGGTACTAGCTGAATCCTTGGAAGCCTACATCAACCCATCCACAAACCGACTGCTCTAATTCCCCTAGTCCCTTCTGTTTTCAACAGCCTCCTTTCTCCCTCCGCTGCTATATTTATGAAACACAAATATTCGTCAAATTATATTCATTCTTTTTAAAAAGTGCTTATTTTTTTTGTGAGGAAGATCAGCCCTGAGTTAACATCCATGCCAATCCTGCTCTTTTGGCTCAGGAAGACCGGTCCTGAGCTAACATCTATTGCCAATCCTCCTCATTTGTTCCCCTTTTTCTCCCCAAAGCCCCAGTAGATAGTTGTATGCCATAGTTGCACATCCTTCTAGTTGCTGTATGTGGGACGCCGCCTCAGCATGGCCGGGCAAGTGGTGTGTCGGTGCATGCCCAGGATCCGAACCCAGGCCACCAGTAGCAGAACACACGCACTTAACCGCTGAGCCACGGAGCCGTCCCCTAAAAAGTGCTTATTTATTGCCAGGTATTTCATTCATGTATTCTCCTTGATATGACAGAAAAATAGGTTGATGCCATATTCCCAATATTTTATATGAAGGAATAGAGGCTCAGGGACATAAGTGGATTGGCCGTGGTCCCAGTTCTGCAGGTAGAAGAGCCCAGAGGCCAATACGCAGGATTCCAAAGCTCCTGGTGCACCCACTGGTGAGCTAGGTAGGTTGAGGGCAATTTGTTTTTTTATTGAGGTATAACTGACACAATATTATATTATTTTCAGGTATACAACATAATTTGATATTTTTATATATTGCAAAATGATCACTACAATAAGTCTAGTTAATATCTGTCACCATACATAGGTAGAAAATTTTTTTCTTGTGATGAGAACTTTTAGGATCTATACTCTTAGCAACTTTTAAATATGCAATACAGTATTATTAACTACAGTCATCACGTTGTAACTGGAAGTTTGTACCTTTTGATCCCTTTCACTCACTTCCCACCCCCTGCCTCTGGCAAACACCAATCTGTTCTCTGTATCTGTGGGGCTTTTTCTGAAAGATTTCACACATAATTGAGATCATATGGTATCTTTTTCTGTCTGACTTATTTTGTTTAGCATAATTAGCATTTTAACAATATTAATTCTTCCAACCCGTGAGCATGGAATATCTTTCCATTTATTTGTGTTATCTTCAAGTTCTTTCATTAATGTCTCATAGTTTTCAGTGTATAGGTCTTTCACCTCCTTGGTTAAATTTATTTCTAGCTATTTTATTCTTTTTGATGGAATTGTACATGGGATTGTTTTAATAATTTCTCTTGCTGATAGTTCATTATTAATGTACAGAAATACAACAGATTTTTGTATACTGATTTTGTATCCTGACACTACTGAGCTAGGTAGATTGAGGGCAAATTTTATTAAAGAGGTAGTTATTAAAGTCTAATCTAACCTATCAAGACCAACCTGATATAATTTGTCAATTTTCTTCTTCACATTATAGAAAAAAATTATAACTAAACAAACTAGGATAAGAAATAAATATCTTCTATCTGGAGGTTTTCACAGCTAAACTTAAAAAATTATTTACATTAACCACTGAATTCTAATATTGTATTATTTTAAGAAAAAGTTTAATCATTTGTCTTTCACATGTGATTAAAAAGAAATTTTAGACTGCTAGTGTAATGAAATATGCAAAATCTTGTATACATTCCTTACTGCAATTCATACCAGTGAGTCAACACAGAATAAGGCCATAAACACTTGGGGGATAAGTCTGAAACAAAGATACAGCAATTGTCCTTGAGAACCAGAGATAAATAAAGAAAATGACTTATTGGAAAAAAAATTTTTTTAAATATAGCTGAAAAATATAACTGAAAATACAGAAGGAAAGCTATCAAAAGTCAATTTTTTTATCAAATAAAAAAAGTTTATGCATGTTGTCTTAAGGCAAAAGAGGGGAGATATAAGTTCTCTCACACAGTAATCTACTTATATATTTACCAAGTTTTAAAAAATATTAAATTCTCTTTTACTAACAAAACTATTATAAAGAAGTTATTCTTAAATTTAACAAATAATTTTTAATGACTGATTTTTAAAATTTTGCTGTATGTCATAAGCCAATAAAGGTGACATTTTAGTTCATCGATTAGATTTAAACACTGAAAAAAAATCATAAAATCAAGTTAAATTAGATTGGTTATAAAGTCAATGAGTTAGAAGATTTAACAGATTTGATTTTTCACTATTATTTCAAGAAACATATTTTACTATTTTGCTAAACATAGACTTTCACATTTGAATTCTTGTTCAAATGACTCTCTTTGAACATAAACCAACAGCATAGCATTTTTCTGAAGTTTCTCAGAAATCAACACTGCCACCCAGTTGTAGCAACTTTTATTACAATGAGCACTATGTTAAAATAGAGAAAAGCAAGTAGGCAAAGTAAAACAAAAATCCAAGCTTAGAAACTAGAGAAGCTCAATACCTGAGCATTAGGTGTCAGACCTGGTTAAAAACCAGACTGAAAGAGGCTGCACTACAGCACCAAACAAGGCAATTACACTGAATCCTGAACAAATGCTCCAGGTTAATAATCAATGCCTTTTATAATTTATGACTGCTATTTATCAACAGCTTAAATTAGATACGGCTATTCTATATCCCTTTTTTGTGGTGGGTGTGTCTCAAGAAAACATCTGGTCACAAACTTTTCGTCTAATGTTTATATAATTTTATTTTTACTTTTTTTAAATAAAGTGATATCTGAATGATTTTCATTTGTATCCAGAAGTTGTATTGGGGAAATTTGAAAACAGACTGGCATTAACTTTGTACATCAAAATAAAAGAATTTTTGTGTAATGATTAGGATTAAGAAGGTTTGGGATATAAAATACAAATAAGCACTGCACTATTTGGAAAATAAGATACCATTTAAGATATTTCTTTAGTGAAAAATTTTATTGTTTTTTTCATAGTCAAGCCAATCATGTATGACAGAGGAAACAGAGAGATGAATAACTCAAACATCATTTATCTGGCTATATAGGAGAAAAAAACACTAAAATTCCATCACCCTTCAAGTCTGCTCTACTATTTGCTGAATAATCTTTATTCACTTATTTCCAGTCTGAATTTCCTTTTCAGTAGAATAGGAATTTAAAACAAATGCCTACATGTAAGGCTGGTCAGCAATATCAAATGAAATTAATTAAAAGAAGCATTTGTAAACTGCTATAGATACATTAACTTTATTTGCCTTCATGACTAGTATTTCTGGCTATACTACTACGTTCTTAATCATGTTCCCCCCAAATTAACAATATCAGAATCTACCATGCACCTACCTATAGGACAAAAAATAATCTAGAAATTTGATAAGCGCATGACAGAGCCCTCCGATAACCTAGATAATTAGGAGTGAACTGACTCAATTTTCAAATTAAAGTTCTTATAAAAAACTACTACAATACGAGGATAAAATATGAAGCTCCTAATATACGCACAAGGCATATTTTGAAAGTCATACACACACACACACACACATCTGTATAGATTAAATCTGTATAGTTATAATTTTTAATTATTCAAACTTTGAAAAATCATCTTTTTATTTAAGTAGCCTCTTTCATTTCTAATTTCAACACACAATACTGAATTTAAATCTATAAGGCCAGGGACTGTGTTTCTCTTTTTCACTACTGAATCTCTACTGGGCAGTATACCACTTCACATATACTGGACCAAAATGTTCTTTAAATGAACAATCCAGCAATATATCTGAATTATTAGACTTCTAAGAAAACATAACTATATTCTGAACACTGAGTATATATGTTTAAGACTAGACATCAGAAAAATGGCATATTTGAGTCCATTATTGGTTAGAAATAACATGGATTACACTTGCAGTTTTCCACAAAGCATTCCTGAAAAGTCACCTTAACTGACTTTGTGATAAACAAACATTATCTTTCAATGGATTGTTAAACTGTGGAAGTCAGAATAAAAGTCAATTTATTCTGAGGAATATCAAATATAAGTCAATTTTAAGGATAGGTTAATAGAAGCTGCCCTGTGAGTGTGTGTGCATGTCTTCTCTTTAATACTTTCCAGCATATTTGTGGTTTAGAATGAGACCTCCACTCACAGACTGCTTTATTTATTTATTTTTGTGAGGAAGATTAGCCCTAAGCTAATATCTGTTGCCAATCCTCCTCTTGTTGCTGAGGAAGACTGGCCCTGAGCTAACATCCATGCCCATCTTCCTCCACTTTATATGCAGGTCGCCTGCCACAGCATGGCTTGATAAGCAAGGCGTAGGTCCGCACCCAGGATCCGAACCTGCAAACCCCAGGCCTCCAAAGCAGAGCGTGCAAACCTAACTACTATGCCACTGGGCTGGCCCCCAGACTGCCTTATTTTTACCTAACCCAATTTGCCAATAATTTCTGCTCCCTAGTCTATATCATATCTCCATGCTCTTAAAAGAACTGGAACAAGCAAACTTAATATAGCAAGAATTTTTTATGTACTGAATTTGCTTAAACTATCAGCAAAGTAAAATTACTAGCCATCTCCTGAAATGTAAAAACAACTTCACGTAGATCCAGATGTTATGAGAGTCAATGAAAATGAACACTTCCTCTAATACATTCCACTGCACAGATCCTACAGCTAGCAGTATAAAAGTTTTTATTTATTTTGTCAATAAATTAGTGTGAGCAAAGGGTTAACCTACATGAAAAAAAATGACCTCTGGTTAACCTTCTAACACTGTTTCCCTGGAAACTTCATAAAAGTGGGATATCAGACAAATTTCTAAGCAACATTTTGTGTGGTAAACTTGACCCCTACTGGTGAGCTAAATCTAGATTAAGCAGACAGTGAGCAAGACTACACAGCCTATCGAAGTGGGAAGTATCAAGCGGGGCTTCTCTAAGTGGGATATGACTTGTAATTGGTGTGTCCTTTGCTGAGTCCTGGACGCCACGCCCATGTACTGTTACAAAAGATATTGTTTCCTGTGGAGCATGAAGCAGCTAGGTGATGCCTGCTCCCCCATGTGTCATCTTTCACTCAGGAACAACACACCTGATGCTGACATGCTGGGTCTTCTACCCCATCTCTTTCAACAAAGTGGAGAGAGGCTGTCACCAAGGGTGGTCTACCGGGTCTTGTGAGTGTGAACGTCCAGCTGAACCCAAGACCACTGCTGCTCATCACGCAGACTAATGGAGGCAATTAGTTATCCCTTGAAGTACATCCAAGGGGCAAAACATTTACGAAATGTGTTGTCATTAGAGATGGATTATTTGCCGGGTTCTTCTGCACACTGAAATGCATTTGCTGATAACATCTGAGCATGATAAACAATCAAGAGAACCGGTGAGTTTAATATACTCAAAGTTAAATCAAACTTTATACTAATTAGAAGGGTTGTTTAGAAGGAAAGAACACTAGACCTGTAGAGCATAGAAAATTAGTCATCTAATATCTTCTCATCTTCCATGCTTCTTCTACATTAGTATGTTTTAAACCTCATGCTTACATCTGAAATATCTGACATTCCTATTTCTCAATTCTGCTTTTTGCTATGCTATCACACCAGCTCTCACACGTCAAATGTCTCTAAACCCCGTATATCTGTGGCTTGAACCAATGCTCAGTAACTCCTCAACCACTATCTGAGAATCTGATGCATGAGCTCTCATAACGATCTCTCATAAAAAGTTAACCTCGCTTGCTAATAAACCCAACGGATTTTTCTCAATCCACATTCCAACACCACATCCCTAAGTGGTTCTAAAACACTGACTCTTCCTCAGGTTCCAGCATACCCAAATTCCTGTGTTCCGCCCTCTGACCTACCCCTAAATGCCGGCATTTTCCAAGGTCCTGTCCACTTACCTGCTTTCCCTCAGCAATTTCATTCTTTCTCATGGCTTCAACTATCATACCTGTGTACAAATTGTTAACAATATCTACTCCATCTACAACCTCAATTTATCTGTTCCTTGAGTACCTGATGCTCCATTAACATCTCAAACTTACCTAAAACTAAGCACATCCTCCTCCTCACCTAATGCTTGGCATGCTTCATATTAATTATGAACAAAAAAGCATGACGTGTAAACAAATACAATTTTTAAAAACACAGGATTGATTCTGGGACTCAATATGTAACAATATGTAAACTGAAATTTAATTATGTGTTATAGTATCAAAAGCAGACACATTAGTATAACATGCACAGGTCTTGTATTTGAATTAAAAAAAGTCAACCTATAATTTTTGTGCTTCTTTTAGATGAAGTGGTTAGAGGTGTCACACTGATATTAGTAAGCAGTTCTCAAAAAACAATCTATTGAAAGCATGATTAATTTTTATCATAATGTATAGACAAAGTAGATATAATTACAATTGTTTTCCTCTTAAAAGAACAGTTCTGAAATGCCACCAACATCTTGATACACTATATAGTGTAGGACTTTGATCATATGAATGCAATCTGATCTTTATAGGTCTTGTGATGAGCATCTGGAGAATTTTATGGTCCTCATTAACTTGTTTTGTTCATCTTTAGTGCTCCATATGCTTCCTGTCTTTAAATATTAACCCATTATGAGAATACAATAACCAATTTAAGACTAAAAATAAAAACAATTTAAAGCCGTGAAGCTGTCAGAACCACCACGCTAGCTACAGTGTTAGCTGAGTGCTAAGTCAACTGAGGGAGTGATGGACACACTCATCTGATCTCCATTACTCACCTCATGGGCTCCCTCATAGATGTCCTTGAAGGACCGCAAATGGTTCCATTTCTCAGGAAAAATATCTAAATAACTATTCTATAAGCTGATGCTTAAGAGAGATCAATAGTGAAGTTATGTCAATAACTCAATGATATGAGTCCTCAGAATACAACACAAGGCGTCAGCGGAGCTCTCAAACAGCCTGGACCACTGACTGAAGCAGTCCCAAGGTTGGTTTCCCAGCCTCATCAGCTCCCAATGCATTCTACCATGCTATTTAAATATTAAAGACAATGCCACAAATATATGCAAACATCTGCTATATGAATCATAGTGCTCAGGCACTACAGACTATTTAAAAAGTATAAAGGTATAGTCCTTGTTCTCAAGTAGCTCATGACCTACTCAGGAAACAGACATGGACATGGATAACCGTTCATGTCTAACATAAGTTCATTTAATTATAGAAGAGACAAAGAAAATCAAAGCAAGATCACCACTGTCCTTAAATATAGCAAATGAAAAACAAAACCTTAACTATATGTCCTTCATAACATAATTTTAGTAATCTCTGGATTTCATCATGCTTGATTACTTATAGAAACCAAGCGGAATTTTATGCAAACTTTTTACAAAACAGGACAAAGCACAACTCTAGGGTTAAGAATTTCTCCTATTTCCATCAAACAGCTGTCTATGCCACTTATTTTTATTCATTTAGCACAATTACTCACAGGAACTGGGAGTATTTAAGCATAATCTAAATAAACACTTGGCAAGAATCATGTAGAGGAAATTAGAGCAGCTGAACTGGATGAACTTCAAGGTCCCTATTAAATCTGAGATCTTTCCATGGCAGTGGTTCTCAAAAGGTGTTTGCAGACTCCTGAGGGTCCCCAAGACCCTTTCAAGGGGTCTTCGAGATCAGTATTACAGTTATACTAAGACATCATTTGCCTTTTCACTGTTTGACATTTGCACTAATGCTGCAAAACCAATGTTGGGTAAAACTGCTTGTGCCTTAGCAAGAATCAAGGCAGTGGCACCAAAATGTGGAGTCATTGTATTCTTTATTACCACAAACTCCAGGAAAGGGAAGAAAAATTAGTTTTAGTTAAAAATGTCATTGAATAAGCAGTAAAAATCACTAATTTAATTATATCTTAACCAATGAGTACGTATCTTTTTAACATTTTGTATGACAAAATGGGGAGGACACAGAGAGCACTGGTGCTGCGTTCTGAAATACACTGGAGCTGTGAGCTGAACTAGCTGCTTTTTATAGGTGGCACCATTTTTACTGAAAAAAACAACTCACAAACCATTGTTATTCAGACTTAGGTGTTTGGCAGACATCTGGAAAATGAATGAAGTTGCCAATAGCTTCCCAGGACTTGAGACTTTTCCGATGGAATCATGGTGGTCATATTAACAAACATGATTTTTGATAACCTATTAAATGTGTCAATATTTGGAAGAAATCTACCAAACATGGCAAACTAGTATTTTCCAAACGGCCGATCAATGATGTCACAAAATCAAGCATGGGTAAAAAATTCATTATTAGAGAAATCAATGGATTTTAATGTAATAGAGATGAAAAGTTCTTTGATTTGGGTTTCATATTCCATGATGTAACTGAGCTTTAAGAAACTATCACCTGTTCAGTATTGGAGAAATATCAAAGAATAACCACAATTATCTGAAAAGACTAGTAAAATACTCCTCCAATACTTACAACTACAAATTTGTGTGGGCCTGATTTTCTTCATATAGTTCACCTAAAACAACCTACCATATGAGAGTGAATGCAGAAACATGATAATCTGCCTGTTTTCTATCAAGTCGACATTAAAGATATTTCCAAAATGTAAACAATGCCATACTCCTAATTTTTTTGCAAAGACAGTTGTTAATATGTAATGGATTTTTTATTTTTATTTTTAAATGATAAAGTTATATACACATCTTCCTGGTTTTAAATGATAGTTATACAGAGATCTTCCTGGACTTACAATGGGGTTGTGTCCCAATAAACTCATCATAAGTTGAAAATATCCTAAGTCGAAAATATATTTAATACACCTAACTTACCAAACATCATAGTTTGGCCTAGCCTAACTTAAACACGCTCGAACACTTACATTAGCCTACTGTTGGGCAAAATCACCTAACACAAAGCCTATTTTATAATAAAGTGTTGAAGACTTCCTGTACTGTATTGAATACTGTATTCAAAGTGAAAAACAGAATGGTTGCATGGGTAAAAAAGGTGGTAAGTGTATCAGCTGTTTACCTTCGTGATCACATGCCTGACTGGGAGCTGCAGCTCCCTGCTGCCGCCCAGCATCACAAGAGTATCACAGTGCACATCACTAGCCTGGGAAAAGACCAAAACTCAAATTTCGAAGTACAGTTTCTACTTGAATGTGTATCGCTTTCACACCATCATCAAGTCAACAAAGCCTAAGTCGAACCAATTTGTCGGAGACCGTATGTATTTTATAAACTCTCAGTTTTAATTTCTAACACAATAAATATCTCTATATAGCCCACATATACAAAAACTCTTTGGAGTTCTCAATAATTTTTAAAAATGCGAAGGGATTATGAGACCAAAAAGTTTGAGAACCACTGTTCTATACTGCCTAACCATATAACCTTTTGCCTTCTTCCCCAGAGACTTGTCTCCTTCAAATTAAGAATGATGTACTACATTAATTTAAATCTTTTGTACATTATAGTAAATACAGGTTACTAAAGCTTGCTAGATGCTGGAGGAGAATTATCTCCAATAAAAACACCTAACACTCTTCAGGTTCCCAAGGACCATAAACATACAACAAGCTTTAGAGAGACAACCTTTCAGCCTGGGAGAGGGCCCAGTATCCCCCTGAGCAAGGCTTTTACCCAGTAAGTGCTGCTTTGCACATCCTCAGATCACTAGCCAAGTCCACATTTAAATGTGGGGACCCGTTTTTTATCACTTTTTTACTTTGGGTCTGAGTTTCTACATTTGTAAAAGGAAGCAGTTACCTGAATAATCTGTAAGGTCTACAAATTCTATTTTACAGGTGACAGAGAAAAATTAAAGGTAGAGTTGGAAAATAGGCACTAGATTATAAACAATATCGTCTTTACTAACTTCTACTATACTAGAAGGTTATTTGACTTTTAACAGTAATTGAAAAGTTAGTAAGAAAGGTAAGTATGCACCTAAGATTAAAAATAGAAATCTCAGATGTGCAGCTGTAGTGATTTTATATTTCAACTGACGTTCGTAAAATATTTTATTCATCATACACTTTCAGTGTCCTTCCCAGACCACTATTGTCAAAGTAATATATTTTTAAAGAGCAGACAGTTCAAGTTGTAGAAAATAACTCCAGTCAAACAATCTTTACATAGAACAACAGACACAGTATGTGTCAGGAGTAATTCACGGGAGAGGAGAAAGAAAAGCCGGAAATAAACATACAAGGAACTGTCATGAGTTTCCATAAACTCTAGTGTTTTTTCTTTATGTTGTTAATGGAACTCACGTTATTTTCTCCAATAAAAACTAACGCCAATGATGGCAAACAGTACAACAAAGATTAATCTCAAGTCTAGAGGACCAACCACCTCAAGCTGTTCCTTGTCAAAGAATATTACTGCTCTCCCTCTGAAGTTAGTAATCTATTCAGATCAGTTCTTTATCCAGAAATATTTTATCCAAAAATTAAAAATAAATAAAAAATAACTACTTAAATATACCAAGAACTAAAACTCAAACTATGGGAATAGATACATTTTAATTATTATTGCCCCAATAACTAACAGAGTAAATCGGACAAATATGCTATTTTCTCAGTCACAGATAAAATTACATTTTAATAAAGGAAAAAACTCTCTCACAAAAAAATATTAAATGCTAATTATTCTAATAATTTTTAATTGCAGAAGTTTACATTATATTGCAGTGTATACTGATTTACTAATTGCAGTGTATATTGATCCACTAACAATTAAAAGGTCTTTGAGAATTACAAAACATGTTTTACCCACATACGATTTAAATATGAATTCCCTAAAAACAATTTGACTAAAGGTTAACCAATTATAAATACAATTAAAAAAGTCCTAAGTCATAAATGTACTATTATTTTTAAAGGCCCCCAAGTCCATCTTAAATTGATAATTTTAGGAAAAGCTTATTTAAAAATAAAAACTGCTCATACATTAAAAAACAAACCTACAAGTGACAGAACAGCATGTAGTTTCAGGAGAAAACTGTAAAAAAGTGGAAAGCAAATTCATGTGTCCTTCCTAACATCTACATCACAGGGGAAGAATGAGGATCCCCTGGTGCTCATTAAGTACCTCGGGGGAATTATAGCTTCCAATCACATTTCAAGTAATATAGCACTCAGATTCAGCCTTGCTGCAATATATCTCCTTTTCTACTAAGCACTGGGAAGTTAAGAAACCATGCCAGCTGTACAGCTGAAATGAAAACACAAATAGCTGCTATCAGGGTGTTGGAGACACCACAGAATGAATTATCTATTTCCCTAATGGTTACCCACATGTCATCAATAATGAAAAAGTGTGTATTAATAGTCCTATGGGACAAATGAACAGTAACTGCCTACGGAGATGTTGCATAGCAATTGAATAGTTCAGAGGGCATTTTAAACTGGAATTTAAATCTGCTTGAGCAGATAAATCTTTAACGTTATACTAGGCAGCAACAGAGTACCATTTTTGTGCCTTCCCCTTCATTTGAAGCATGGAAGACTTGGCAAACAGTCAACCAAGATGACAGATTATTGTTGCTATGGAAGCCAATCACAATTTGTTCTGAAATTATAAACATCTGTAAGAAATAAAATGCTTAAAAAAAAACAAAAAATGGATCCATAAGACTAAAAATGCAAATAATGCTAGAATTAAGTGTACAATGATAAAATCCAGGGAGTTTCCAACTTATGAAGGCGTAAAGTTCTAAATACTTTACTATAAATTAGATGGATGAAACAGAGAATTTATTTTCTTATAAAAACAATGCTATAACATTCTCAGGCTAGCTCATAAATGCATCTAGTTCGTGTCCTGGAAATCTTACACCTTTGCAATTCCAGTACAATGTACTGCTGTAGGAATTTAGACCTATTAGAAATGGTAACAAAGAATGTAATAATTTATTATGAAGTCTATCATATGAGGGGAAAAAACCTTAATTAGAAGAATTAGAACCTTTTTTAGGTCTATTCTTAAAACGGTTTATAAGGGCCTCAGACATTCCTGAGGTGATTAAAAAAGAATTAGAAAGATTTTAGAATCTCTGAGTAATAACTGAGTTCTAAATAAATAAAAAACAGAATAACAGAAATAGATTCCTCTGAGTAAGTGACAAGAGAGGGGAGATCACTGAAAAATACTAGGTTGGCCAGTTCCCTGCACCCACCACTAAGTCATACTGTGAACCCAGGACAACCTGGTTAGTAAATCCGCGCATGTGGATGCCAAGGAGCCTGAGGGGTGCCTGTGAAGGCAGGTGGTGTGCCGAGATGTGTACCTACAGATGTTCACACGCTGGCTTAGGTTCACCGTTCTTCCGTTCCTCATTCCAAAGTGACTATCAACGGGCAGTGTGGTGCAGGGGAAAGGAGAGTGTTTTCGGGCTTGGTCTGTTAATAGCTAGGTAGCTTTTGCCAACTCATAGCCTCCCTAAATATATGTTTCCTCATACGTAAAAAGGGGATGAAACACATCATTGAGAAACTGCTGAGATCAAATGTCATACAAAGTATGTTAATACAGGCAGCTGCTTCTATGCGACAACACGTAAAGCAGCTTATTACCTACTAGAGCAGAGTAAGTCAGAGTAAGGACAACTAGAAGTTCTACCACACTTGGATTAAATAACGGACGAGACGCACCGGAGAATACCTGAGTACTTGCACCAGGAAATAATTAGGGCAATGCCTTCCTTTTCTGTCAAAACCCAGCTCAGACAGCAACTCCTTCAGAAAGCCTTCCTGGACCTCCACTCCCTACTGCCAGCCACACCACATTCCGCAGTCTGTAGAAATGTACGTGGTGGCACGTACTACCAGAGTGTAATTCATTGCTTTACACAGACTGTGAGTTCCTGGACGACAGCGACTTCATCTTACTCATCTCTGTACTTTCAGTAGACAGCAATGCCTGGCACACAGTCAGTCTCCAGTAACAACTGCTGAACTGGGCAGTCTACGTCTTAAGTAGGACAATTATGACATAACACTAGACCAACAGTCACCAGTTCCTTTGCCAGAATAAAATTTAACCTTTTAGCAAAAGATACGTGATTAACCCGAGCATGCACGTAAGAATTAACCCATGCTAAGTGGAACCAGGAGGGGATCAATGAAAATCAAACACCCAAACTTAGAGCCCATACCCTCTTGCGTCTTTCTATTCGGTTACTGTGACACAGTAAACGCATGTCACAGGCATAAAAGGCTTTCGGCTATGACACCCTGAGTGTTAACACCAGTAACGCATTCTGCAGAAAACAGCTGTTGACAAACGGACTTCCACTGGACGGAGCGCTCCCGCGCTGCGCCCCGGACACCCCGGGCCTCCCGCCCCGGCACCCCAGGTGCGACCCCGCCGGCGCCGCGGCCAGACAGGACGCCTCCACCCGCGGACCCGGGCCGGGGTTCCGGCGCACCGCTCGCCCGCGCCGCGCGGGACGGTTCCTCAGCACGGTGCGTTCACATGACCGGAGACGCCCCCGACAGCGCGCTCGAGGGCGGCCCAGGCCCCAGTCCCGGCGGCTCCCGGGGCCGTCAGGGCGCGGCGCGCCTCAGTTTCCCCCACGGGCGTTTGCCGGTTTTCCCCCCGCCCGCAGGCT